TACTGGAAGGCTGCTATGAGGTCTCCCATATAACCCTCTCTTCTCCAGGCTGAATCATATCTTATATGGATATATGTAAAATCATATCCTATAATATCCTATATGGATATGGTTATAAGTTATATCCATTATATCCATATTATTATATTCATCTAGCCTACATAGATATTATTATGTTCATATCCATATATTATAGATAACCGTATTATTAATACATCCATAATCCATCTATTATTGATATATCCTAAATATTATGGATATATTGTGTCATATATGGATAGGATTATATCAATATATGAATATTACAATTATATTATCATCCATATACAGATATGATTATATCCATATCCTAAGCTGCCCAGGGAGGTCAAGGAGTCTCCCTTTCTGGAGGCATTCAAAACCCACCTGGACATGTTCTGTGTCACCCACTTCAAGGTGACCTTATCTTGGCAGGGAGGTTGAATTAGATCTCCAGAGGTCCTCTCCAACCCTAGCAATTCTGTGATTCTGTGAAATTCATCATACTGGAACCTGAGATGTCAAAGATAATTAAAGAGGAATCCATTTATTCATAAACAAACCCATTCTCTTCGTACTTTGCCCTTCAAAACAAACCATTTAATGGCACAGCCTACAGAAATGATCCCTTATTCCTGTCTGTATTTGCACTAAAGACTCTGCAGTGTCCCCCAAGCTCTGTTTTCACCACACAGCCATGACCGGTACCACCACACTGCAATTCACTGATGTGAAACATCTTCTCTTCGCAAATCCTTACCAGAAATGAGCCAATTACACCACACTGGGAAGTCTTAGTTCCCATTCTGACCTGTAAAATGTTCTGGTTATTGTCACTATTGTATTGTCATTATTAATACTGTAACTCCTCCCTGCCTGTGGCAGGGGGTTAGAAAGACATGATTTTAAGGTCTCCTCCAACCCAGACCATTGACTCTGTGCTTTCTGTGCCAGGTTCAAGTGACAATGCTCTGCATGGTTTGCAGTGACTCCTGGAGCACTAGCTACTTTGCACATGGAGCTTTTTGCCAGGCAGGAACCTTTTCCCATATTCCCTGTAACTGCAGAACCTGAGCCCTGGCCAGGTTTGGGGTGCTTGGCCTTGTTTGAACTTGGTCATAGCAGACTTGTTTTAGAGCCACTCAAATCCACACAAGGATAGAGCAGCATGGTTATTATTCCCTTGCTGTTTCTTACACTCCTTTGCTGACTGCCCCTTTGCCCTGTTCCCTGCTCATTACCTGGGAGACCTGACCTTCAGCTGCTGCCCTACTTTGAATCACTGTTTTGCATCTGTCAGGTAAAATGTGTCCCAGTTTGGCCTAAAATGCAGGAGTCCTGCTGCACAAGTCTGCTGCTCCCTTTCACTGCAGAGGCCTAACTGGTTTGGAAGCATTCCGCCCATGTGCAGTAAGCCACACATTGGAACTTCAGTCCTTCCGAGACCACAGGAGCATGGGTGAAATCACTTTTCACTCCCTTTTAAAGCTTTTTCTGGCAATCCGGCTTTTATTTTGGTAAGAGCTAGTGTTTTAACAGTCAATACATGTGAAAATGAAATTATATGCAGCTGTGGTTCAAATCACTCCAATGCAACAGCAATGGAAACATCAACCCCTGCTTTTTCTTTTTTTCCCCAAGTATTTTATAGAAATACAAAATGTTTTATGATTTTTATCCACTTTTTATGTGTTCCACATACATACTGCCTGGCTTCCATGGAAAACAGATACATGAAAATAACTGAGCCAGGCTGTGCCCTCCTCACCTCTGAACTACACAAAGAGTATAATAAAGAAATCCTTTTGTAACAGATTCACCTGCTAAAGATCCCATTCTGCCTCAGGCCAACGTTACCACGGCTCATTAGGTTTGCTACATAAACCAAACTAGGGCTTCACAGCAAAGAGATGATACTTGGAAGTGCCAAAGGGATGAAGGGGGAAAAACAAAGTATTTCATGTAAGAACAGTAGCTCTGGAACAGGATGAAGCTGAGTTTTGAGATACTCCCACTGTACACAGATACAGACCAACTTAGGAAAGAGAGTGCTTAACTTGGAAATTAGGCTTAGAAATTCAGAATTTATTTACAAAAATCACTGGGAAAAAAAAAAGGAAATTACATAAGACTCTCCTCCTGGATATCCCCCACTTTGTGAAACACTGAAATTGAAGATCATTAAATGCAGTTACACATTTTACAGACTTATCTTCATATACAACAGCATTTGCTTTAGCCATCAAAATGTCAGGAGAAGAGATAATAAAATAACCTATTTTAAAACAATGAAACTACCAGGTTTCCCTTGACATCCCCTCTTTAAAAGTAAGGTAAAACACTTTAGCAGAGAAACAGACACGATAATTCTAACTTCTAAAGAGATACATGAGAATCAGCCTTCTTCAATTCAGGCCTCTCAGTCTAAATTGAGACAAGATCTGTACCAAAGCAATTAGCAATATTCTCTGCAAGTCATTGTCAGAGTTTCACTTTCAAAGCTGTTCATTTAACAAAAGAGGAAGGAGCAGTAACAGAAGAGGCTGCAAATTCGTGGGTTTTGAACAATTACTTGCATTTGGAAACGGCGAATACTATTCCCCTCCCACATTTCCCAGGAAGCTCCGAATACAAATGGTTCCCCACTTTGACCATGCTAATCACGACGCAGAAGTTTAACACACATTTAAAAAAAGTATAATAACCCTTGACAGAAGAGTAACAAATGCATATCGCTAATATCCCCTTATAGTCTGAATTAACACAGAGTTAACCAGGTTTAGGTACAGCTTTTTTGTTTGGATTTTGCACAGCAATTGCACCTATTTTCAACTGACTTCACCATCAGCACGAAATACTGATTTGAAGGGAAGAATCCTGAAAGAAAACGAGGAAAATCTTCATGTTAACCAAATCAGGACTTTACCCAGCTGGTATTATCTCCCTCATATCACAACTGGACTTCAATCCCTTATAACAAGTTTTCAGAGCCAAATTCGTATTCTCTTAAACAGTACTGTGGTAGTAATTGAAATTAAAAAACCCACACTGTTGTTTTCTTTAATTTAAAAACAAACTGGAAATCGTACTGAAGGAAATTCATCCCTGAGTAACGAGACATTTAAACACTGCATCCTACTGAGAGTCACTGCAAGAGCCTACAACATGTACTCTAACAGTCAACGCTATGAACAGGCAGCAACAGAACTTGTCACAGTCCAACATATTTGCAGTGTTGTTGCATTGATCCCATGATCCTGTTTAATGAAACTGCAAGGGAACATTAGGAAATAGGATAAATAGAAATAGTGTCTTTATTATTTCAAGTTGAATGTCAAATTGATAGCTAAACCATGCTGGATCCCAGAAAACTCAAGAGTAGTGATGGTCAGCAACTTGCTTCTTTGGATGTCCAAAAGGTTTTCACCAGGAGTCTTCAACCAAATAACAGGAGGAGAACGATTGTAACGGAGTTCAGTGCTATTAATGGCACTGCAGGAGGAAAAAAAGAAGAGTAATTGCAAAAATTTTCCTTTCCACATCACAAAATGACAAAACTTCCTATTATCTCGGGAGAATACCTTGGGAGGAGCAGAATCAATCAAAGTTTAAAAACATACTTAATTTTTCTAAGCAGAATCGTGACTAGTGCAAGGAACCAGGCTCAAAAACTAGGATACTAAAAAACAGTAGGAAGCAACAGCAGAAATATTTTTCAAAGTCCTGTTTTAACTTGAACCCAGAGACTTTAGTTCTGCTTCAACTTTAACCCAAATAATTCTTTCTTCAAATGAAACTAGATCATCTCAAAGTCAGCTTCTGTCCTTGGCTTTATTGTGATTTAGAAGAAACATTCTGGTTTTAATTCAGTGGAGGGCAAAACCCATAAGATTTCTTAATTTCCCTCTATCATGACCTATTAGGAAATTTTGGTGTGCTTTACAGTGAAAAACTATCAGTAACTTACAAGTTAAGTACATTTTTCCCCATTTTTTGAGGCATGTAAGCCTGTCTTACCTTTCAGAATCCCTGGAGTTACATTTCCCTCACCAGGTACTTCCCGTAAAACTGAATTTAGACAAGGTGAAGCTAATTGCACACTTTGATCACTGAGCTTCCCCCCAGGTCCCAAAGTCTAGGGAAGGCAAGGCTCAGCAGCAGCACCACGAACCAGAGTCAGGAAATGTTTTACACTTTTATCAAAATCAGGGCACTTGAGGTGGAATCTGAACCTCTCACAGAGTCCGTACGTGAAAGAAGGAGAGGTAGGAAATGATGAGCAGAAATAGCAGCTGCTTGGTACTGATGTGGCTTCATTCAAGTGCAGAAACAGAAAATAATGCTGAAAGAGAAGATTGTGCCCTTACCTCTCATAACAGTTCGTATTGATCGAATAAGGTTCTTCAACTGTGCTTTAATGCCTGGTTCCTCTCCAAACCCTCCAATCCCCTGGTCGCTTCCCCAGCCAACTGTGTCACACAGAAACAGACACACAGGTTGAGAAAAAACCCACCAAACCAGGAAACAAATGCTATCAGCACTATCGATGAGCAGTCTTCCCTCAATACGGTTTATACTAACATTGAAAGGCAACCTGCAGAGCAACCAGCTTTGCTTCATGATCAGATATTGATACAAAGTACTGAAAACGCTTAAAACTTTTACTGAACTCAGAGGTGATGACAGATAGGTTTTTCTGTGAAAGAAAGCTTCACCCTTTTAACACACTACTAGAGGAACACGTGACTGTATTTGAGCTTCAGAAAAAATACCTGTCAAACCAAACCCAAGCAAACTGCAATCTGTTCACAGTTCTGAACACACAATACCGAATGACTGCTGGGTATGAGGTGATGAGGCTTTGGCACTGAGAAAGGAGTGACATGGCAGAAAACAGTCACCATAATTTGCAAATCAGGATGACGATTTTTGTAACTGCCACTTAAATGAGAACCTTGGAGAAAAAAAACCTGGAACTTTCCTGAGTGCAGTGGAAGTCCTGAAGGTTTAGGAAGCCCTTCCAGAGAGAAACTCTTCCTGACCCACTGCAGGGAGGCAGAGCAATGGGACCAGGGATGTGTCCAGAGATTTCTGAGATCTGCTGGTCAGAGTCCTAACCACTTCAGGGACAAGCGAAACACAGAGCAACTCTCAATGTTCCAAGCTTCACTGCCCAACCTGCGAGTTTCTTAACTTCTGAGTGATTATCTTGCCCATTTCTTGTCTCCCTTGCTCAGCCAGCAGCAAGCTGGGGGTGGTAGGTGAGTCCTCTGCCTCACCAGCCTTGCCAGGGGCTGCTTCCCACTCGAATGAGGTTCACAAGTGGCTTGACCCATGCCGTTAGTCCCATCTCCCTTTTCCTCCAGCTGCTGCTTATCAGGAAAGCAAAAGAAAACCCGAAACCCAAAGCGAGCAGATCCC